TAACATGCTAGACAACCCAAAATCAGTAATCTTTGCAATCCCTCCTTGAATAAGAACATTTGCAGAAGACTGTACAATAACATGTAATACCATGCATTAGTATAATTATAATTCAAATCATTATTTTATATGCATAAATAGATAACGCTTTACCAGATCTTTATGAACAATATCGAGCACATGTAGGTATCTCAACCCTTTTGCAATATCCAGGCCCAATTTGTACTTTTCTTTCCATGTTAAATCAGTAAAATGCCTTGCTAGATGTGCACATAGATTCCCGCCATCAGCATATTCAAATACCATGTGATAATTGTAAGAAGTGTCTACTCATAAGGCGGAGTCAGTCGCAATTCTATAAAGGTTTAACATTGCATTTAACTCGCCTTGATATACTAACCTTTGCATAATCCTAAAAATCGGATAATGTTCGGATGGTCATCCACTTTTTTATGAGTTTTCAACTAATATACACAAGATCAGTTTATTTTTCCCGATTGCAGACAATGATTTACCGAGTGACGACTGCTAACAGTAACAACAATAATAACACAAACCTCCTTGACAAACTTCTTGTACAATTCTTGCTCATCGCCATATGCGTTCAGAGATAACATCTTCATTGCGACGGTTATGTCGTTGTACTTCAACTGTGCCTTGTACACAACTCCGAACCCACCGTGGCCGACAACCGTACGGTCTAAGATTTCACTTTCTAAATAGCACTTAATTATTCCATCTTCACATATTTTATCTAGCCATTTCTTATCCATGTTCGCTTTAAAGATGTTGTTTCTTGGGACAATTGAAAAATTCTCTCATGTCAAGTCGTCGATTTTTATAGGATCTTTATTGACAACTGTTTTTAGACAGCTAATACATCTCATGTCAAGTCGTCACACGATGCATTAAACGTCACACAAACGATAATACAATAAGAATGTGCGGAATACGATACTTCAACTATTGACAAGAGTTAGTTGTATCATGTTAAGCAATAAAGTCTTATAAAATCGATACTTCAACTTTAATAGAGCGAGAAGTTTTTCTGGCTTGTGAACACAAAAAAAATATTGTACAGTACATGCAAGATCCACGGCAAGAAGTCTACAGGACGGCAGTTTTATGATTTATAGAACAATGTTTATATTGCCTAGCTTGCCTGTCTGCTTGTATTTTACCTCTGGCTTATTTAACTTTGATGCACACTTTCTTTATGAAATGTCGGATCAAAAGATAAAGGAAGGCATCAGGATAATTTGAACTTGCAAGATTACTTTAAATACAACTCGTAGTTTATCTTCTCTCACGAATATTCCCCGATGCGTATTTACCATTGCTCGCTTTCAACATTTTCGCTATTCGTTAGTCATTTGCTTCCGTCATTCATGTAACATGCTCGTTTTATTATTACTATCATGAAACAATGAATTTTATCGAAAGCACTAGCGTCAAATTTAGTCGATAGACGTTCCAGGCGTTCATGCAACTCTAATATCTTGTTGAGAAATTTACGGTGAATAGCTCCTACACAGTCAGTCTCGATAACCCGGCCAACGCGTGCTGGCTCTAATTATTACCTAACCAGTAATCACTTTGTTGGTAACTGGAACTCAAGTTTCTACTAATTTCATTTTGGACATTCCTTAATATGGAGCAACACACAATCACCATTTGTAACATCTAATTTATCTCAACTAGTACTATTACTGTTATTCAACGAACCATGCTACTGTTCTAGTAAACTTTTGCAACAAATAGCTAACTGGATGACATGATTATCTGTATGCCTTTTGTCATGTTGTGACTGAAATGAATTCTAGAGTTGAAAGAAGATTCTTGGCTACAATATTACAGATGTCAGCAGAAACAGTGTAATTGAACTAAATTCTTAGCACCTTTAACTTTTTAAAATTATCACAACATGAGAAAAAATTATTGCTAGAGAGATAATTCCATACATTAGAGTCGGAACATTTTCCGACTCTATTCGATCGCTTTTGCGTTTTCGATTTATTGTCTGAAAGGTAACTGATTCAAGTTACATAGTCAACCTCGTTAATCCGGGACCGAGGCTTAAGTTCAGATTAACGAGGTTTGTTCTCAAAATCCGAACTTGCTATTAAATTTAATAATTATTCGGTTTACAACTTAAGTCTTTATTATTGTTTAGTTATTGTCGCGGCTGATGCTGAAATCAGCTGATACTGAGATCCACATGACCAATTTTCTATTACCTAATCATTCAATGTAACTCTCTAAAACCGCGGTGATTGATGTCGAATTTTGTCGCATATTCTTGTATAATAAATCTTAAAATATTATATTGGCTAATACAAGCTTTTATCTTCATATTATTCACACGGTTCTAGTATTTCAATGCCTGTGGCAATTCTATAACGTCTTTATCAGTTGGTATTCTCTCAGTTTCTCCAAGTAAATGATTATCTATCCGGTAATAGTAATCTTCAATTCTCTTTATGAAAAAATAAATTCAAAGAGGGAGTTAAGCTTATAAGCTGATGAGATTCTCCGGATTAATAAATAAATTCTTCAGATAACAAGATCTTCGGATTAACGAGGAATTTTTATATGACAAGTTTTTCACAACTGCCTTCGGATTGTGGATTACAGAGATTTATTATAAAAATTCGGATAAACGAGGTAAATTTCTTATTAATAAATTGGGACTAGAATATTTCTTCGAATTAACGAGGTTGCTATGCAAATAACAAAGTAAAATTAATAATTACACCAGTGTTTTGGCTTCAGTAGCATTATGCATTTGTACAATACACAAAAGTATGCAACAATCGATAAAAATGGGATTAAATTTAAATTCCTCGACAAGATAATAAAAATAATCCCGACGCATCGCACAATATCCGACACACGTTGTACAGGCTCGAATATTATGGGCTATACGACGTGTCGGGACAAGTAATAATGCAAATACAGTCAACCTCTACAATTGGGACCAGATAAAACTGTGACTGTATGGGAGTGTGACTGTATAGAAGGAAGACTTATATTAGTCATGTGACTGTATATTATAATTTTGTTATTTTTAAAAAATCAACGATATTAATATCGGTATCTAACTAGCACTAAAGTAAGCATCAATACTTTGTTAGCACTTTGATTGGAATTTTTTGAGGTTAAGTAAATTCATATACTCGCGGAAAACACGCAAATCACTAACATCTATGCCTACATTGTTTGGTTGCTGCTCGAAAAATTTAAAAGCACTTTCCAACCCTATTCGAGCTTCTTTCAGTTGCACAGGTGATGTTTCTTCATCGAAATCGTCAATAGTATCTTCTGTATTTTCTGTATCTTCTGCGTTGACCAGGCCAACAATTTCGTCAAATGTAAGCGGCTCCTCAGTTGGAATATGAGTATCCAATCGATATATACAAAGTTCTATATTTTCATCCGACAGATTACCAACAAGTCTTTCATCGTTTGAGTTCAAGTCTTCAACTTCAACCATCTCACAAACGAATGATGGAAGAATTCCAGTTTTATACCAGCAATTTTTAATAGTTTCTATTGTAACGTTATGCAGTTGCAATATATTCAATTGCTTTTTTGATATTGATTTTGCATCTAAGGTTTTATATAAATGAATCATACAGTACATACACATTTTTCTGAGGTTAACAAATTAGTCTTACCTGTCGTATACTCCTTCATCGAATTGTTTCACAAAACAATTAGCTTTAAAACTCGCATCCATTGGTTGTAAGTGTGCGTAGTATTGGGCGGGAGGTAAAACATCTTAACATTTGTTAAGTTATGATCATTAATATTGTCTTTGTTTGATAATTGAACGGTTTCATGGTTGGAGATCTGCTCTTCATCTTCTGTATCATCGATAATTTGTCTTGAACAAACAGATTTGCATCGGATGTCACGTAAGTTCTTAAGTGTTTTTATTATTTTGATACGACACCAACGATCTAACCCTCTGAACCAATCAAAAAAAATTCAGATCTCATCCAAGATTTCGAGTTTGCACGATATGTTACGGGAAGTGTTGACATATTAATATGTTCAAAGCAACGCAGTCTCTGATATTGTCCAATTACGAGAGGTTGAAGCTTGTGAGAGCCGGTAGCGTTACAGCTCAAGAGAACTGATAACCGGGATTTATCCTAAATTGTAACAAAAATTAAAAGAAAAACTTTAAATTAAATTTAAAAATGCTATCAATTATACCTTTTTTCGACCTGGTACGTACGTACGCTGGCAGTACCTAATGTTTGGTTTGGTTCCATACGATAAAATAAAACCGTCTCTTCGTATTGTAAATGTGTTCAGGATCATACTCGGATAAAATCTGTTGTATGTTCGGCCTTTCTTCTTCAATATTTGCCAGTGGTGCACTGCCGCCTTCCCCGTGTGGAGTTATTTTATGAATGCCATATCTTTTCTTGAGATTTGTCCAATAACCAAAAAATGTCGTTTACCGTTATAACGAAAATTTATATGTAATGTCGTTACATCGAATAACTTTCATTATATGGATTTTTTGTTCTAGGATTTCTGTCAGTATAACGAGATGTCTTTATATAGCAGTGTCGTTATTTCGAGACTCACTTGTAACAAATTTAGCCTTTTCATTCAAAATCGATCAACGAGTTCAATTAACTCGGAATTCGGTTTCCCAATTGCTATGATAGAATAATTGTCTCGGCGGTTTTAATAAATTCGATAGCTTCACGAATGTTGGCTTGAGGAATTTTTGAAAATTGATTGATTTTGAGCAATAGCATTATAAAGACTTGAGGCTGCTAGTCTTATTTCGTTAGACTATGAATGAAGAAATCGGGACCGCTGACTTATTTTGTTAGCGTTTGCGCTTTCAACGTTTCTGATGCGCATTTGTAAAATTGTCAAGCAGTCGAATGAGATTGTTTTAACATTGTATTGAATGAAATGAGACATCGATAAAACAAATTTCAAGCGTGGGTGAGACGTAAAAACCAATGTCAGAATAACAATCATAAAACGTTGTACTTAGATATTTAAATTCATGTAAAATTTTCTCACCTCGACATAGTCAGAGATCAACTTCACAAACATTTTCGATAAGATACATAGGCAACTTTGGATAAAAATTAATTATTTGGCCCACAATAACTCGATTGGGATTTTGTTTCATACCTCAAATGACGATAATATGATCCGTCTTGTCTGTGCGAGGCAATCTGATTAGGTAACTATTGTAAAACGATTGACCAATCATCGATCGCATTATATCCTATTAAAGGATAGAGACAAAAGCCAGGATGATAATAATAATATTATAAGTTATTTAACCGTGGTGAGACTCTATTTGTGCTTGATGTCACAGCTAGTGTTTCAATAGACTATTGGATGTTTCAATAGACTATTGGGCGTTATAATAAACGATTTTTCTCCTTCATTTCGTTTAATTTGTTATCGTTTTGACTTGTGATTGTAAACGTCTTTATACAATAACACTTATAATAAAAATTATTAGACAGACAAAGCTGATAATTTTAAGGACTCCGCGAAGGACTGCAAGTCATATTTTTGAGAAAGTGGGTAACAAAAGTAACAAGTGCGCTGATAAGTTTATAGGGGCAAGTTGCTAAAATTAGATTATTATCACAATGGAAGTGGGAAGTAACAATAATAGAGCAAATTTTGATTATGCAATAATGTAAGACAATGACCCAAAAAGGACAAATGAGAATGGGAGAAAAAAAAAAAGGGGGGGAGAAATAAATACATTTATTCGGTGAGCCGTCGCGTCATCTTCTCAAATACAAACTTTTTCGCGGACAAGACAACGACAACTGGTTGCCGAAGCCAAAGCTATTATCAACTGAAGTCACTATAACATTAAACAGCCACGTTAGCAAACGGTGATAACTTTCAAAAAGAAGCGTATACCTGCATGGCACAAGAACTGTCGCGTCTTCTCAAACGTAAAATTTTTTTGGCAACAAGATTTTTTCTTCAACAAAACTGGTTGTCGAAGCCAAACCCATCACTATAATCAAACCAACGTTTCTGTTGCGGTAAACTACTGTATGGTAAGTGGGGAAGAAATAGAGGGGGGGGGGGGCAACGTTTATAACAGTAAAGCAAAAGTTAAGCGCACATATAACAAAAACTGGTCTATCAGTAACTATGAAATGTTTGAAGTAGCACGCCTCAAAACAAATAAGCACTATAACATTAATCAAGAAAACTGATTTATTACTGTGACAAACATTTGAAGCGCACGCCTCAAGGCTGATAAGCGCTATAACACTGATCAAAATTTTTAAACAATAAGTGGCACACCTCAAGGCAAAAAAAAAAAACGCTATTTTAACATTGATCAAACTTTTTTTCAAGTCATGTTTATTCCTTAAACTTGCAGGAAAAAGAGTAATATTGGATTAATGGTCGGGTGGTAGAAAAAAAAAAATTTTTTTTTTCGACTACTATCAAACTCCGTCCTCGGCATGACGGAAAACTGCCGTCTTGATATGTGGCCACCTCAACGCGAATGAGGGTTGACGTTTACTAAGTGGTAGACGGAGAGCGCATTATCAAAAGTCTTAATATGCCGCCCCTCATACTTGCGAATGAGGGTTTGACATGCAAATGTGATTCGGGCAACGTTGTGAAACGACCAAGTCGTTAATAGCGGCTAACAACATAACTCTTAAGGTACGTTAATAAGATTGTACTTTACATATTAATAATATTATTGGAATAACGTAAACAGTCCAATCATTCGGTACTGAATCATTGACTGAACCGTAAGTGTCTATAATAGATCCCGAAATAGTGTCTAAGGGAGTCGTAGGTTTTACCTGTCCGTTTATCTGGTTTACGCTGGGTGGCTTCTAACGCGTCTACTCATACATATAGCACTTTGCTACAACTCGTTTTGAACAACGATATCGAACATATAACCAACGCAACAGACCTTTGTTGTACGTTCGCTTTCAAGGTAAGAATACTTACTGGGTAAATTGTTGAGGGTCTGTATCCGAAGGTACGCTGCCACTAGGTATAAAAGCCGGATAATCTTGAAAGCTCTCCGTGGCCA